CAGGCAGAGCCGCAGGGTTTTATGCCAGAATCTTTTCCTCTTTTGCTCCATTCACAGCGTTGAAGGCGTTGTCCCTGTGGTTGGAGCAGGCAGCGTTTTCCAATCCTAGGCTCTTGCTATCTGACTTGTGTTGGGCTTATAACTCACCTTATCTTCTCTGTTAATAACACCAGGCTGGTGTGATGGGGCTCTGCTGGAGCAGGAGCCCAAGGACAGCTGAGTGGAGGCGTCCTAAAAGGATCCCCCGCGCTCCCGACTCCATTGTCCCGCTCCTTTGTGTCCCTCTCCTGGCTCCCTGTGAGCTCCGTGTCCCCAGGTCTGGCCCAGCTGCTTGGGCTGGAGGCTGCCACATTTTCTTTGGGAATTACACATGGATAACTTAGGGCTGTTCATCAAAGAAACCACTCATTCCAGTCAGGAAAGGGCACTATATGGAATGTGTTCTGCTTGCTGACATATTAATATGCTCTGTGCTCAGGCGGATTGCACAGAGCAGTCCAGTAATTAATATCCAGGGAGGTCTAATGGGCCTAAAGGAGTTGAAGTGACTCATCCTTATTTTGTCATTGTGTTGGTGGTGCTTTAGGTGACTTAGAAATGCAGGCAGTGCTCATGACCCAGCTGGTTTTGGATACACCCTTTGGGGTGTGAGAAGGGAGGAGAGAGTGTATCTTCTTCTGCTTGTCATTGTGAACATGCTTTTAAAGGGTTCCTCCTCTGAGTGATTTCTGTGTGTCCCATGGGCTTTGTGGGTAACCCACCTTCCTGAAGAGGTGCTTCATGTAGAGGAGAGAGTGAATTCTGTGGTACTAAACTGTGATAAATGGGCTTTAGTCAACAATTCATTTCACTTGCATTGAGTGATTTATTTGCAACAGTTCTTGCCACTAAGGATTTTGGGATGAACATGTAATTAAATTCTTAAATTTTTTTTATGATGCTGACTGGGTTTGGTTACACTGCCACCATGTTTGGGACCTTGTACATAAGAAAGAAGCAGCAATGCTTTTCCCTGAGCTATTAACTTGAATTGTCTCAGGAAATGCAATAACTCCACTGGGTATGATCTGGGACAAAATGGCACAGGGCTCCAAAGTATTTACAGTCCAAAAAAGTGAGAACAAGAGTTGAAATCCTGCATGGAGGCAGCTTTTTTTCGGTTGATTTTTCAAATGCCATATTCAGTGTGTGAGGGCTCTAAGAAAGTTTGGCCAAGAGCTTCAAGCAAAGATCAAACAATGGGAAGAGTGGAGGAGAAAGCAGAGAACATGTGACTGTGAGTAACCAAAGTGGGTGGAGAGCCAAAGTTCAGATGATATTACACAAAAATTACAGAGCACAAACACATTGGCTCCTGGAGATGAATGCACAAGGAAGCCAAGTGGTGTGTGTGGTGTGTAATGAGAAGTGTTTGCATGCTGGAAGCTTGTCCCTGCTTCTCATGAAGTAGGAAAATATATTGAATTTCAGTGTGGTTGTAGGGAAGTGCCAGTGTGAGAGCAATAAATGCTGCTTAAGTGGAAGCCTCTCATCTTACTTGTTCTGCTGTTCCAGAGTGGATGGAGCAGTGTCTGTGAGAAAGGGACAGTGCTACACATCTTGTTTCACAAAGCAGAAGTGAGAGACCCTGATAAAAACAGCTGCAAAATGGAGGGGCAGACGATGAGGGGGAGGAGGGTGCTGCAGTCAGCCCCAAAATCCTTGTCCACTGGAGCAGGTGGAAGCTTTGCCATTAGCTTCTAGGGCTAGGAATTTACTGCATCTCTTTAACAGTCATACAGGAAGAAGGTTTGGGAATAGGTTTTGAGTAGTGCTGGGTTTAATGCTGCTGTTATTTCATTTCCTAGTATCCTTGGGGTTGAATCCAGGGGATTGAATTCTTCTTTTCACATGAAGGTTCCCTCTGAAGTGGGAAGAATCCCTCAAGTCTGCAGAAGACACAGTTCAAAAATCATACTGAAACATGGTCAGTGATCAGGATTCGCGTTTGCCAGAAATGTGTTCTCAACAGATCCAGCATTTAGGCTTTAATGGATTGTTGGATTTATGTGTTAAAATATTTTGTGTTCTTCTGATCCGTTGTCTTAAGGTACAACAAAACAGAAATATTTTATGGATCCATTCAGTGCACCAGGTTGTAGGATTGGAAAAGAGGGAAACAGATGGAATTCCCCCCAGCTTGTTCCTTAGCTAGTTCCAGAGATGAAGAAGCAAAGGGACAGACTGTGCTGCCTCCAGCTGCAAGAGGCTGGGATCACAGTGAAGGCAAGCAGCATTGTCGTGGCCATAGCAATAGAACCACTTTTTTTCTTACCTGATTAAACCTCACTGGCCTGAACCCAAATAAATCTAACCTCACAATAACCATTGGACTGTCTGCTTGCCTTTTTCCAGGTTGAGCTGCTTTATGGTGGAAAGGAATTTTCCCTTTATCATTTATTCTAAATATTGATAAATAAAGAGCAGTCTCTGTGATGAATATTGATTTCAGCTCTGTTTGGAAAGTTTGTTGTTTTGAAGCCTTGAATTTCCAAGCCTGGAACAGCCTCCTGACCCAGGAGCAGGCTGGCAGCATTCCCATGGGGCCTGTTCCCTGTGCTCCATGGCCTCTTTCTGCCCAGGACTTCCAGCTGACATGCAGCACCTGCCTCTCTGGGAAGCTCCAGTTTTAGTATTGCAGCTGTTTGGACTAGGAACAAGTAGAGATCAAGTACATAATAAATCCCAAAGACTCTGAATATATAAAATAACCCCCAAAATACATGGAGTAGGTAGTGGTGGGATCACTTAGACATAAAGGCTTTGCTTGCCCTCTGATTCTCTGGCCGTGGCACAGGGAATGCTCAGCCTTTTGCATAGTTTCAGGGAGGAGATGTTTCAAGCACTGAAAAAGTGACTTGTGAAGCCTCAGATCAGCAAGGCATGCTGCCCTCGAACTGGGATTGACCCTTGCCTCGGTAAAAACAGCTTTCCCTGCCTTGGCAGGCAGCCCACCAGAGGAGCTGGCCAGGAGTATTTAGCTTTTCCAGGTAATTTAGTGGTGTGTGCTGAGCTACCTGCAGGCAGCGGGTGAAAGGAGGCGCAGGGACATGTCTGGGTTCATGCTGAGAGGGTTTCAGCTGTTGGTTAACTGAACATTTATGTGGGTTTAATGTTTTAATAGATGAAGTTTAGCAATGTGTTTGTGCCAGTGTTGGCAGCATGTACACTCCTGACTGCTCTGGTTCTCTCGTGCACAATTTTTTGGGAGGTTAGGCTGTCCCCCAACCACTGAGGCAGGTTTTTGGTGTGTTTAGGTGTGGGCTGCTGTACTCCTCACTCACAAAGTCTGAGTGTTGTTAGCTTTCCAAAGCAGCTCAACGACTGCTTGTGCATAGTAAGTTTGCCTTCAGCTTGCTCCTTGAAGGCTGTCCAAAAAAAACCAAAAAACCACAAAGAGTGGGAGTGGATTTCTGCCTGCAGATTAAACCCCAAATTTGCTCTGGAGAGGCCAGGGGAAAGACAATGCCTGGGAGCAGAGCATGGCCAAGGTGAATTTATCACCAGGACCTGCAGATGATAGATGGGCTGGAAGTTGGGGCTCCAGCATCAAAGCACCTTCTCTTGGCACCAGGTTTTAGTCAAGATGTTCCCTTGTAGATTTGCATTGCTGAATAGGAACACTCCTTCCAGAGGATTTTTGGAGGCTGGTGCCTGGCTTGTAATATTCCAACTGTCAGTCTGTTACAACTGCAGTTTGCTCTTTCGTGTGCTGGCTTCTGTTAGTTCTTGCAGAAGGAAAAGTTGGTATTGGTGGAAGGAGGAGGTTGACAACGTATTTCTCTTGGCAGCAGTGCTGCATGTTCCTGCTCCAAGGGATTGTGGAGCTGGGATGCAAATAGAACCTGCCAGGGGTTTGGTGTGCACAGAGAAACCTGAGGTTCCAGTGGCACTGCCAGGCCTGAGGGGGGAGTGGGGGTGACAGCCAAGGCTTGGCATCTCCTGGAGTTCCTGTGACACTGAGCAGGGCCTGGGAATGTAGGAGAGCCCACTGAAACCACCCCCTTCAGTGGCTTTTGGTCTCATCCCAGCTGCAGGAATCTCACTTCTTTTGCTTCTGAGTGTGCAGCTGGAAAGTCCAAGTGTTTCCTTTCCAGGTCTGTGCTGGTGGCGGTGGATGTGTTGCATCATGGACTTACTGAACAGCCAAATATGGTTCACCATGTTTGAAATCTCAGGAATTTATGGTTTTGGAAACCTCAAATTACGGCAGAGCTGCAGTGGAGGTGTTTGTTTTTCCTGAAATGGCCCTTCACTGGTGTGTACCAGCACCAACACTTGTTCTGGAGACCACAGATTGCCATTGCCTTCCTAGCTCAGGAACTTGCATGCTTAGTATCCACCCAAAAATGTGGGAAGATGCAGCTTTTGCAAGGGGGCTGGTGGTCAGCTGGCAGCTTCAGCTCGGGACTAAAGGCTGTGTGGTGTGTTGGGGGATGACTTCCATGGACAGATCACAGTTCAGATTTGTGGGAAGGGCTGCTCCACACCATGGACCATCATTGTCGGCACAGGGACAGGTTTCCCTTACCACTGTGGGGTTTTGTTTGGTTAAGGTGTACGAAATCAGATGTATCCCTCAAGCAAATTCCTGGTGCAGGGAAAGTCTTCTAGTGGTGGGGAACATCCCTTCCTGCTGCTTCTTGTCGCGTATGTTTTCCATACTGGCACTGGTACTTACGCTCAGTGTTTTCAGTGACTTTCTAAGAAAAAAAAAATCCAGAAGTATTGTCATTGTAAATGTTTGATATTTTGCCAGCTTTAATAGTTAATGGTCGTCGTCAAATTGACTTAGTTTTTAGGTTTTTTTGTCCTTATAGTTGATACACTGAATTGTGCCTGTATTTAACAAGTTCATTTGTTAGCAGAATTATATGAAATGTAACACTGTAAGCAAACCTGTCTGGACACTAAACTGTTACAATTGTGTGCTGTGCTGTAGAACTGACCCTGGTTTTCTGTTGCAGGGCAATCACTTTGATCAGTATGAAGAGGGGCACCTGGAGATAGAGCAGGCATCTCTAGACAAGCCCATCGAATCGGTAAGGCCCCCCCTGATCAGCATCGTTCCCCCCGGAATTAGGCCGTGCTCGGATGATCCTTGATGTGAATGCAGACAAATCTGATAGCAGTGGGTGCCTTGTTGGCAGTGAGGGGTAATTGGTGGTAAACTGCATGCTGACCTTAAGTGGGCCTGGGATTTAATCTTGAAGTAGTCCTAAAACTAAAACCTGAAATTTGAGTTCAACATGATATTTCAGGAATTATTTAAAATAATACATTCATTCATAGAAATTTATTTTAAGTTTTTATGCTTTTCTTTGAAGAATTAGTTTAATTTAAGTGTGAACTTGATGGAATAGTATAGTAAAATACATTTTGATCCTTTTTAGTTTATATTTTTGGAAAAGTACTGGTGTATTTAAAGTGTTAGAATGACACCTGGCAGTATGGAGAGAGGGATCAGTGTTAGTCCAGCAGTCCTTCCCCACGGAGCTGAAACTGCCCTGAGCCTTCCTCTAAAGTTGCTTTACCTTGAGTTAGATGTGAAGATTCCTGCAATAAGATGGAAAAAGTAGAGTTTTTTTTTTAGTTTTAGTTTTTAAGCTTTTTGGAGCTTTTTAATTTTTCTCTTTGCAAAGCACCTTCTGCTGGTTTTAGGCACAACAGCTTGTTCAGCCTAAACTGGACCCACATTTGGCATTTAGCTTTAGCAAAGTTTCATTTGCAGTTTCCTTCAGAAACAAGAAAACTTACAGTGAATAATCAAGGGACATTTAGTGGTGTTCTGATTAAATCTAGATTTTTGTTAAGAAACTACTTGTCAAGTATTTCTTTTACCAATTAATTGAAGTTCTGTTAAAGTTTCTCCACCTTAGTCAGCCCCTAGAAAAACCAGTGTTAGCCAAAGCCCACTATATATTTTTGTTGGTGTGTAGGTTGGTGTTGTGTGTGTTTGTGTGTGTGTTAGATGTTTACCAAAAATTTATACAACTTGGGGTGTTCGACGTTTTTCTTCCGCAGCAGTTGGCCCATATTAGCTAAGCAGCCATGATCTGGTTTGTATTGCACGGTCTGCCTTTTTTAATTTCTTCTCTAGGGTTTCCTTTCCCCTTCTTATTTCTGTTCTTCTGGTCCAGTGAACACTGCATATAGTACCTACTGTCTTAATGTGCTGGCATGATGCTAGATTTAGGCATGGCAGTAATTGATGACGCATGAGATAATGCTGCAGAGATGGGAATTGGTATTCACTGTTCTTCTGAATACTTCAGTCTTACCTTGGGACATGGGGATTTGAATTAAAATGCCAAGCTGGATGGAAAGATAATGGGAAATACGTGTTGGTAGCCTACCCTGGGCCACACTGGAAATTAGCATTTCAAAATAATTCAAATGCTGCTTACAGACTAGACTGGTTACCTGATTTCCAAAAGTGCTTTCCCAAAGAGAGGAATCGAAGAGGTCAGAGATTACATCTCTGGTGTTCCAGAGGAAACAATGCCTATGGAAGTGTGTAAAGCATGAGCAGGTACCCTGGGCTCACGTAGGCTCACTGTGCAGCTCTCATCATCCACAGGAGTAATGCTTTCTGAAGTTTGATTAATGCTGAACTGCAGCAGAAAAAATAAATTAAATTAGGGCTTTAATATTTTATTCATGTATGTTTCTCACCATCCAAATGTCAGGATATTTTTAATCTTTACAACTCCTTGGTAGGTACAGTTCAACCTAATTGAAAACAGTTGGATGAAGAGGACAGAGAGACTAGCTTATTTTGGGAGGACAGAGAGTTAAAACCTCAACTTGTTCTTTAAAATCAAGTTTGTTCCACTCTTCTTTTGTATGAAATAAGAGAATCACAGAATCACTAAGGTTGGAAAAGCCCTCTGAGCTCATTGAGTTCAGCCAATACCACAGTACTGCCAAGGCCACCCCAACCCATGTCCCCAAATGCCACATCCCCTTGGCCTGTGAACCTTGCCAGGGATGGTGACTCCAGCGCTTCCCAGGGCAGCTGTGCCAGTGTGCATCCCAGAATTTCCAAGATGTGGCTGCTGCACAGGATGGGGTTTTGGCTTCCTGAACAAACGTAGAGTCAGAAACAAGCTGGTCACTTCTGAGGTTTTACGTGGCCTTTGTAAAAATACATTGTTGATTCTTAAATTCCCCATCTGGGAAGCAGGAATTACTTTGTTGTGTTTCCTGACACCTGTGGAGGGGATTTTGCTTCCACTCTGTTAATGATCAGTGTGCTGTTTGAATTGGCAAATTACACACATCACCAAAAGGGACAATTTCCTTGGCAGAATTCAGTGGGGCCCCTCTGCTACAAGATACTTCACCAGGAAAGGAGTGTTCATTCTGCTTTTTTGGCTTTTTTTCCCCCCTTTAATTTTGTGCTGTTTGCTCACCGGGAACCAAATTGAGAGGGAAGGAGGAGAGGCAATCTGTGTTTTAGAACTACCACATACCTAAGTGTTTTCAATATTAACAAATCAGGTTTTAATCCTTAACCAGTTCTCTGTTAGCAATCCAACTGTCCTTTTCCAAGGAATCTGCTCAGAGTCATGAGTGAGCCTGTACTTCATGGTATGGAAGCAGTTTGAGTGATGAACATTCTGTGTTTATAACCGTGCAGATCAAAGTGCTTCCCAGTTAAAATGTCATCCTTTGGAATGAGGAGTGAATTAAGAATATTCCCATGAATGTGCTCCTTGCAGCTTCCCACATCTTAGTGACAGGAAGGTGCTCCAAAGCCTGCAGGTGTTTGGAGATGGGGGGAGGGTTTCCTGTGCCATGTCCCTGTGACAGTCCCCACTGATGTGACATCCATCTCTGCAGCATTATCTATTGAGAGGTGCTGACTGTACTGCTACAGCATGCAACTCAAAGGTGGCTGGAAAAATAGGTTTGGGAGTCTACAGATCATTACAATGTTGAAACGTGTCCTCAATTAGCTTACTGGTGGTGAAGTTCCTGTGGAAATCCTGCTGTGTACAGCTTGTTTAGGCCAAAGATGTCTGGACTGAAACATGCGACTCTAACCAGAGTACATTTATGGAAAACAGAGCTGCCAGGAGTTAGGGATGGATGTGGCCTGAACAAGTGCCAGCTGTTTTCCATTACTAAATTGAAGGAACTATTTCATATCAATGGACTCTTCAGAGCTACAAATACTGATACTGTTTTCCCCCCACAAGTAACATTTTTTCTTGTTGTGCTTTGAGAGATGCTGCACTTACACTGGCTGTTCATGTCAGTGCAATCACTGGTGTCCTTGAAAAATCAGAGCACTTCACCCTTTTTTCTAAATTCAAGAAGCTGCATGCATTTGTTTTGGGGCATTTTGAGTGCACTGAGTTCAGGTACTTGAATGGGAAGTCACAAATTATTGCAGCTTTAATAGAATCCAGATTTTCTTCACGTTAATTCCTTATCTCTACTTGTTTATTGAGTCTCTTTGCTGTGAATTCCTGGTTTTCCTCATCCCAGCAGTGCAGATGGAGTAGGAGACAGCAATAGACCCTTAGAGCCCCCAAGGAGCAGCCCTGTCCCCGTGCAGGCAGTGTCAGGGGTCGACCCACGCCGTCACCGCTGCAGGTTGGAGGCCAGACTGGGAATCACCCACTTATCCTGGAGCTTGTTAGTTTGTCCTTGTCCTAACTAACAAATGTCCTTTCCCCCTGTCTCTAATGCTGCTCGGTGCCACAAGGAGCGCCTTGAGCCCCCGTGTCAGGCTGCAGTCGGTGGTGCTTTGACACCAGGGGCTGTCACAGCCTGGCCGAGCTGGAGCCGGGGTTGTGGCACTGGAAATCTGTACGGATCTGTGGACTCCACTAGTTCCAAAGTGTCATTTGATGAGGCTGCTGATTTGACATTTAGCAGCAGCCATATGTGGACAGCGCTATAAATAATGTGCTTCTGGAAGCTGAATGGTGTAGCATTACTATTTGGCTTTTCTCTCTGGTCTTCATTGTGTCATCTGTAGTGAGCTCTAGGTTTTGTTTTGGGAATCTTTTCAACCTCTTGTTTGCATGGGTTCACCCAGTAGCATCAGATCCTTGCTTATAGATTCCTCCATACACAGTCAGCACAGCTTACAATCCACTCAAGAGAGGAATGGTTCCTGCCCGTACCAGGATGAGCGATGGGATCATGGGGATCTCATGAAAAACCTGTGCTAGGCAAAACTGCTGGTGTGGGTTACATCCCACATGCATCATCAAAACCTTGGGCTTCTTCTACCCATCTTTTAATTGTAAGCAATTTTTTTTTCTCTATTGGCCAGGACCTTTATCCAAAATTTGTGCTGGGGATATCCTGCTCAGGAATCCTGATCCCCATGGAAAGCAAGCAAGGGCATCTTGTCAGGGCACAGGATGGGGAACTGGGGAGGCCAGTTAGAGCTGGTGGAGCCCGGTCACTTTGGATGAGGTTTTTCCAAAGCAGCTTACCCAGCTCTGGGAAGGTCTGGTGGACCCAAGGCCTTGCATTTCCTACACCTTTGGAAATGTTCTGCTTTGTCATTAGAGCAGAGCTCTCCATCAGTGCTGCTCAGCTCCATAGCTGGTGGTGTCCCACCCAGAGCTGCTGAGCCTTTCTCCCTGCATGGAGCATCCCACAGCCTGTGCCCACATGGTCCAGGAGAGCTCCCTTGCTCACCCAAACACCTCTTGGGAGACTTATTTTGGCTGCTTCAATAATTTTATTGCGGCTGTAACACAAGAAGTTGCCAAACAGCAAAGGAAGAAAGTGAGGAGACTCATGCCAGCCCAGAAATGAGGGGTGTCCTAAGGCTGTGATGTTTCTGTGGATCACTGCAGCTCTTCTGTAGGAAAACTGCTGTAGTGTGAGGATAGTCTGTTCAAAAGGAATGACAGCTCTTGACATGCACAGGAAGCTTGCTGTGAAAAGCCCCATCTCTTCTGTATGAAAGTAGCTGTACTTTTACAGAACTTTCAATTAAAAATGCGCTTCAAAAAAAGCAGTCAGCTGTTGCAACATTTGTTGTTCCATGTCCCATTTGGGTCCCCAGTATCCCTGGCTACTCCCTAGGCTCTGCAGACAGGCTCTCACCTGGGATCAAGCAAGCCTGGCCTTCCATAATTTAATTTTTAAGGCAGCATTTGTACTGAAGAGCAGTTCTGTCCGTCTGCCTCTGTCAGAGGTCTGGGTTAACCTTTGGAAAAGGAGGGAGGAGCTGAACGTGGCCAGAAAGGAGCAAAGTGATGGCCAGGTCCTAATTCAAATGTTAATTTTAAATTATTAAAGTTGTTCCCCTTATTGAGTGCAACAGAAGATGCTCCATTTCAATTGAGTAGGATCTAAAATTAGGGAGTAGTTCCACTGCATAAACAAACGGAAAAGTTTGTGGCGGGGAGATCTGTCCTTCCTGGGAACTGAGACAGGGCAATGTTCAGGCATAATTCCAATTTATGTCAAACAACTTGGGACCATCCTCTTGAGTGGGTCTGTAAAAGTGGTGCTAATGTGTATAACCTTTCTAAATTTTTCTTTTTCCCTTTAACATTTGTTTCCCCCTTCACTGTCAGTCACAACACACCGCTCTTGAATCTCCCAGCTGGTCTTGACTTGTTGAATTTATTTTATGCTTTCACTCTTCTTTAATAAATACATTACTTGCAAGCAGTGAATTGAAAACAAAGCAAAAGAAAAAAACTACCATTAGTGATTGGACAGTTTCTTACTTTGTGTTACATTTAACTGTTCTTTTGACAGCCCAGTTTTTAAAGCCAGGTTCGTATGGAAATGCTTTCACTCCACTTGCACTGCTTTTGGAATAGCGTTCTGCTTCATCTGTCTTTATTTTAGTGCATTCATAACACACACAGTCAGCACAATGTCTCATCTCCACTTGGCCAAGACTGCAAAGTACTCCTTGTCCTTTGGATTTTTTTTTTTCTTCTTTTTGGAAGACGCAGCCATTTTTGTCAGCACCGGCTTTTAGATTGAGTGATCCTTTGGCAGGGTCAGGCAATCAGTGCCTTATCCCAAACATATCCCAAGCTGCAGCCCCTCTCTGCCAGGACAGGGCACTCTGTGCCCATTGGGGTTGGCCTGCCCAGGTGTGCCTGCAGGTAAGTTTTCCTGTCTTCCCAACAGCCAGCCTTCTCCATGGTGCTTGTGGTGGGGATCCATCCTTGTTTATTTTTACCTTTTTTTTTTTTTTTTTCCGTTTAACCTTTTATCCTAGAAGTTTCTTTATGTCTCCTGTTTATTTTTTTTTTCCCACATAGCCCTAATTATGTCCTGGGGCAGAGCCGGTAGTATGGGAAAAATTTACATTACCCTTTGGGAAATACAGGAATACAAAATATCTGTCTTTATTAGGATATCAGAAAAAAAATCCAAAATTTATACTTGATAACATCTTTTTGAGGAGAAATGTATTCATGCAGCCAATATCTTTGGGAAGGTTGTGCTTTTCAAGCTGATTCACCAAAGTTGTGCAAACCCTGTGGTCATTTTCTTCACTGTGAAGTGACAAAACCTACTGTGATTTCTTTTAATGACTGTTACTTAATTAAATAAACCTGCACCATATAGATATAACTATCTTTTAGGATTCCATGTACCACTCAGTGTTCTGGAGTCACATCCTGTTATAATTCAGGATATTTCTCTGATACCTTGGGTTGTGGTTTGCCTGATGATAATTAATAATCAGCAAGTTCATATCTGATTTTGATTTTGTTTTTTTGTGATTAGAAGGTGAACATGGTCCCAGCCAAGAGTCCTTCTCTGAGGAGCTGGTCACTGCTTGTAACTGGGTGAAGTGGTCACTGAGGGTGAGCTGGCAGATTGAGATGGTTCAAGGGTGCTGTGAGTGTTCTGCTCTTTGTCTGGGGGCAGGAATCTTGCATAAAACATAACAATTTCCACACTGAGCCCTGCTCAGCCCCATTGCCAAAAGCTGACACTTAATTGCTGCGTCAGTACTTTTCTAGCTATTCCAAAATAGCTCTTTTTTTAGGAAGATGAGACATTATGCTTATTGTTTCCCCTACATGCACTAATGGTTCCTTGCTGTTAACTTATTGCTAGGCCTGTTTCATTCTAACATCTTAGTATTTTTGTTAGTTTACATGTGAAATGCATCACCCAGTCTGTGCTTGAGCTCATTTTATTTAATTGATTTTTTTTTTTTTTTGTTTTACTAACCTCACTGTTTTTTCAGTTTAATATTGGCTGCATGCTAGTTTATATATATACATATATAAAAAAAAACCCAATCAAGTCTAGCCTGGATTTTGCTCTGATTGTGTTTTGGTTTCTAGTGGTGGGGCAGTCTTGCACTTACAACTTACTCAGTATTATAAAAGCCTGACACACAAACAAAATGACTAAACACATTGTAGATTTTCTTTACAAAAAAAATCTTAAGTGGTGCTGTCTAGGTGATGGATATGATTGTATAAATAGCTTGATTTTATGCTTTTTACTGTCAATTTTTATTGGTACACTTTATTTTCTCCCACATTGCTTTTTATTTTTATTATTATTTTATTTCTTTTAAACGTGATGCACAAAAGTTGCCCAGCACACCATCAGAAAGTGACCGTCCCCAATCCCCATCCCCCTGGAAAAATTCTAGCCAGCAATTTTTGACATTTGTCTTTCCCTTTATTGGGCATATATTGCCTTTTCAGTAGCATTTTTTTGCATGCATATATATGTAGAAAAATCTCTTGCTCATCACATGTTTAAATGTCAGCGGGAAGGGAAGAATATATTATTGGAATATTTTTGGTTTGTTTTCTCTGTTCTGTCTGTCAGGATAATATTGGACATCGCTTACTCCAGAAACATGGGTGGAAGCTGGGCCAGGGATTGGGAAAGTCACTGCAGGGTAAGTCCAGTCCCTTGTGTCTGAAACCTTCAACTGCAGCCTCAGCCTTTAACAAAATTATTTCTGCTTTTTGTTCCTAGATTAGATTTTCTTTCCATTATTGATATATCCAAACGAATGTACTGCTGAGTTTTGTATGTTTGCAAGTGAAAGTTACTGCCTCACTTGTTGGTGCAGGTTAGAGCTGTGTGTGTGGTGGATGTGAGAGTCAGTGTGGAGGGAGGACGATTCACTTTCCATTGTGCTGATGTTTTGGTATTAAAAGAATTAAAGGTTTGAGGTAGTTCCTATGATTTGTCAGTGCTCACTGGGGTCAGAAGCCATTGGAAGGCCAGGAAAGGGCCCACTGAAGATGGAAAATGGTGGCAGAGGTTCTGTGGATGGGAGAGGCTCACTCCTGGTTTCTCTACATGACTGTCACAGGTTGGATTTATTCCTGTTCCCAGCAGTTTGTCAGGGATTAGCAAATCTCACTGGGACACCAAAGTGCTGGTTGAACCAGCACACACCAGACCTTGCTGGCATGAGCCTAAGTTCTTCCTGTGACAATAAACCCCATTTCTGTAGAAACTGTGGAAGCATTTGAAGCTCAGGTGTGTCCTGAGCCCCTCAATAACTTACTCATGTTCCCATGCCAATAGTCTGAAGACCTGGGATCTTGTAATCCATCTTCCATGAGTGAGACCGTTAGAGATGGGGGTGTCTGTGCTATGGAGGACTGTGCAGAGGTAATGAGTTCTCCAAACTCTGGGAATGCTTATTAATCCCTTGGACTAAGGCTCTCTAACCTCTCAGGCAGGACTGCCTTGCTGGTTAATGCTTCTGGCTTTTTCTAACCTGGTTTCATTGGAGTTCTCTAGTTGATGCATGGCACTCTCCAGTCCTCTCACGTCCCTGCTGGGCCAGACCTCAGGCAGGGTTGTAGCTGTCACCTCTGGGCCTTTCCTTTGGCACGTGGGATGTGTGGAACTCGATGTGATCTCTCTTTTGGGTGTCCTGTATTGCTCTGTGTGTCACCAGTGTGGGAACACGGTCTTGAAAGTAGGAAAAGCCTTTTCTCAGCCCTGTGTGGATCCCAAGGCACAGCCTGGCCTGGGGTGCTGCAGGCTTAGATGTGATGGGGTGAACATGGATTATGGGACTAGGTCTGGAATCAGGGCAGGGGGTGGTGGTGTCACCATGTCCCAAGGGCTGAGCAGGAATTTGCCCTTTGAGTCTTGTCCAGATTTAGATGTTCCCACTGTGCCTCGTGCTGCGCTGGAGCTGTTCTGGGTCTCTCACATATCATTGGAGCTCTGCTGATTGGGACTGTGTGGAAGCTACAGGCAAATTGTGGATGTGGGCTCTGAGGGCTTTCCTGTGCCTCCTGCAGGAACACAGGAATAAAAATAACCCACCCAGTTTAACCCAGTTCAGTGCTGAAGCCTTCCTAATGTGGGCTATGGAGCATGTGCAGGAATTTCAGCCCTTTTGGAAGGGAGAAGTGCCCTGTCCACCTGCCAGCCAACTTCTCCAGAGGTCTGGGCAGGCTAAGGATGTGGGAGGGAGGCTGCTGCAGCTCCAGCTTTTCTCCTCCGAGTTCTCAGCAGCCAGAACCTGTGCCTGTGGCATTGGTGATGATTGTGTTGGGAGTGTTTAATTCGTTATCCAGTGACCTTTCTGCATGAATCTTAGATTGGCACAAAAATCCAAATATAAAATGTCAGGAAGGAGACATTTGCATCCAGTTTTAATCTTATTCTAGGAGTTTGAAGAGTGAAGTAATTTGATGTGCAGTGAGAAGGGAGGAGCAGAACAGAAGTCCTTCTCCTCTTCCACACTCCCTTGTTCAGGAAAGACCAGGAGAGTTTTCTAAAGAGATGTAGGTGTGTTCCTGTTAAACCTTTCTTGTTTGATGCTGCTCGAGCCTAAAATCTTACACAGACTGTGGTGAGAAGGTGCAGCAGAAACAGAACCCCTCTAAGTAGCCTTGAGCTGTGAGTGTGGTGTCTGGCCTCCTGCAAAAGGTCCTTACATCAAACTCAAAAATTTGGGGTTGCATGTACAGAATTGATTCTGCATGCAGCTACTTTCTGTGCACTTTAACTTGACCTCAGTGTGCTGAGTTTTGTGATATCACTTTTAATTCTAGATGTTCATCTGAGCTTGGGCTTCCTCATCAGTTTTGTTGAATCCCAAAGTAATGCTAGGCAGAAATATTTCTTTTTTGTAGTCTTGTGGTGGTGTTCAGCAAGAACCTCACACTACAGGACTTCACCCTGTGATGGGTTCCTTCATCTTGACTACCCATGGGAGGATGGAATCCAGTGGTGAGAGTGCTGAGCTGTCTCTGGGTGGTATCTGTAACAGCCTAAAATCTACACTTGCCAATTGCCAGTTGGTGGTAAAAAATCTCCTGGTGTGGTACAACGTGGCTCATTCTGGGGAAAATCCCAGAGGTGGAAGCATTCTGTACTCCCTGGGGCAGCTTGTGGTATAAATCTTGTTACTGAGAAGAGCTGAACCCTTGGGTAGGTAAGCACAGAGCCCATGCCCTGAGTGATGTGGCTGTCATCTGCTGTGTTCTGGCTGAAACATCTGCATCTTTCACTGAATTTGGGATGTGTGTTGAGTGGAGCATCAGGCAGGGAAAGTGCTGTGGACTCTGACCACACCAGTGCTGGAGTCCTGGTTCAGAGATACTCATGAGGAGTTCATCAGAGTCATCCTTCAGCTCATCTCTTTTCCCAATGTTTTTCATAATTTTTTCCCCACAAACAACTTCTGTTGTATTTGGAAATGGTGCTTCAGCTTGCTAATTGTCAGTGAATATCAAAAGCAGGGAAGAGGGTTGCCAGTTGATAGGGATCTTTTTTAATTTGGAAAATATGGTTTAGGGAGCCACTTTTCCATAGAGATATGTGATACTTGCACTCTGACAAGTAAGAAAATGGTGATTGTAGCCTGTTTTATCTTTGGGGAAATGCCTGTAGTTGATAATCCAGAATTTTGTGGTCTCCTGAAAAAAATTAAACTAGCAAAAAATTGGTTAAAAGCATTGCCTGACTTTCGTGTGAAGTCCTGTGCTAAATGAGCCCAAGGATTGTGAATAAATCAAGAGTTACATAAGTCAGGAGGGGAATGAGAGTGCTGAGGGAAATCTGCATTCAACCACACTCTAATAATTTCTCTTGGATTTCTCTTGGAATTTCCCATCAAGTTAAAGTAGTTTTATGAAAAACCAGGAGACTGACATGCAGCAGTGGGATAATTTGAATCATATATTTGAAAATATTTTTATAAGATCTTTGCCTTTTCCCTGTCAATTTTTTTGACAAGTCTTGTTTGAAAAAAATAATTGTGCTGAAAACTTCTGGATTCTTTTTTCCTTTTGGACTTGCATGTTTAATATGAAGTAATAGTACTCTAGAGGTATTTCTGCAAGACTAAAACCAGTAGTTTAATCTCATTTAATTAGACCAGGGGGAAACTGTGTAGGTTATCCTGCTGCTTCCTGGGTCATAGCAGGGCCTGGGGAGGGTGGGCAGCTCTGTAGGGAGGGTTTGGAGGGGGCAGGAGGAAGGTTTGATGTTTACTGGCCATATGGAGAGGACTGTGAGGAAAGATTGACCAGCTCTGGTGGACAGGTCCAGCTCATCCTTAGCCAGTCTGGGTAACAGCTGTAATTATTCAACACAGATTTGCCTCTCTAAAGTTCTCTATTGTAAACATTCTTGCCTGATTGCAGCCTTGATCCTTTAAAAACCACCTGTACAGAGGCAGTTACAAGTTCCCCTACATCACAAACTGTGTCCTGTATGATTAATTTGATATTTTTAAAAGCATTGATTTACTGCACATTCCCACAGTATTCCCAAGACTGAGATTATCCTGATCTTTTGTGGTATCTCTGAGAAGTGAATCCCAATGTAGTACTTTGCTATGGCAACAGAAATCACACAATTTGTCATGGCAGAGCTTCTCCTCAGTGCCTCAGTTGTGAATCAAACAGCTCAGGTAACGTGGGGGCTCAGTGTAGCTCTGGAATTCCTGTGTTTGCTACTCAAGGGCTGAGGCAGCTCTTTCAATGCTTGGTTATTGTCATGAAATTGCTCATAGTGAAACCAAAAGGAGTTTCAAGGTGGGTGGCTGCGGGTCTGTACTGGGACTTGGATTATCTCCAGTACTCAGGAAATAGAAGCAGCAGGTGGTTCTGTTTAGGGCAGGGACATCCCTTTTGGGGCAGGTCCTTGCAGTGGCAGGAACTTTCCATGTAGCCTTTGGTCCTGAAGAAATGCCTTCTGTCCCTTTCTTCCTCTGCCTATTTAGTAATAACTTCCTTCATGTTTGCTTATGTTTTTAGCCAAGTTTTGGCATCATTTCAGTGTAACTGTTCTGGAAGAGCTGCTTCCATCTCCCTGCGGAGCAGTTATATCTGCTGATATAACGCTGTGAGGAGAGGGCAGGGCCATGCCTTGTCTTGGAAGCTCTTGGTAATGCCATGCAGAGCTGGAACCCTTCCTGCATCCTTGTTCCCTTCCACTCATGCTGAAAGCAATAAACCTGCACAGACTGTCAGGGCAGTACTGTTCCTGTTGACCAAGGTGTGCCCCACACTGATCATATAAGTCATCCTGGTGATACAGGGAGCAGCAGTTAATAAAAAGTGCTTTGGGTTTATTTTATCCTTTCATGAGTACATCCAGCTAGGTAGCAAAGTCAGGTATAGGAAATTGGTTTGCAAATGCTAAAATCCAGTCCCTTCCTCAAGCTGTATTTTTGTTGCATGGTTTTCAATTAAATGAAAAACCACAAGCGAATTTGTACTCTGACTTGCAAATTCTGTGAGGATAAATATAGTCAGCACTTCCCCCCTCAGCATCACTATGGTGCAGTTCTTCTTTGGCACATTCCTCCCCAAATCTGTTCAGAAAAGGGAAAACATTGCCTCTTGGTCCAAGGGCTGAGCAGGGTGGAGGAGCAGAAGCGTCTGACAAGTGCTGGAAGCTGCTCAGAGCTGCAAGTGAAGCCATGATCCTGCAGCTCAGGAAGGAAATATCCTCTCCTGGCAGCCCCTGGGGTGATCCCTGGCTGTGGGATGGAGCCGGATCCGAGTCCCCGTTCCAAGGCGGTGCCAGGTGGCAGCGGGCTCTGCCTTTGCTGGATGTTCCTTGGGCTGTGGGGAGCAATAAACAGAGCTTTGACCACTCGAGCAATTGAGATCAGTCACAAATGTGATCACTTGGCAGCTGCAGCTTGGAGAAATGAGCTCAAGGTTTGAATTCCAAGGTCTTGAATCCTGGCACTGTCACCCGCTCGCCAAATGGCTTCAGCTCAGATATTAATGTGTTTTCCATTTGTTGGCTCCTCTGATCTCGTGGAGGCAGACGGTGGATGTGTGTCAGGCCTGTGAACATGGAACAATGAGCATCTGAGGGACTGAGAGGTGTCAGATTTCTTTCTGGGTTTTGGAGCTTTGTAATAAATACAGGGAAACACAGGAGAGGCAGATAAAAGTGCTTAACAGTGCCTTTATTCATGAGGTATGGGTTTGGCAGTCATACCTAAGAAATAACTGTGATCACTCTCTTATCTTCTTGTATCTTCATATGTCCTCACGGGAACCTCAATCCTGGCATGAAGGAACATTTCCATGCTTGTGTTTGCAACACAAATCACGCCAGTGCTTTTAAGAGTGATGTTTTCATGTGAACTTAGCTTGAGAAGCCTGGCTGCTGTGGCTGCTGTCGTCATACCCATCTTCACTGCTGTGTTAAAACCCAGCAGACCACAGACCGAAAGGGAGGTTTGCTCAGTGCCCTTTGGGGGAAGCGGTTGCCCCCTTGTTTGCTTTTGGAGGTGCAAGATCATTCCCTTTATTACAGGTGGTGAGTTTGTGTTGCTTGAGTGGGTGTAGCCAGTGAATCTGAAGTCATTGTGCTTTCAGTGCCACGTGTTTGTTGTGACAGACGGCCTTTGCCTGGCTTGGGATGAGGCCTTCTGGCCCTTTGTGCTGGTGCAATGGAAGAGGAGTTTTACTAAACTGGGAGAGAGGAGTGTGGGGAAGGGAGGGGCCCTGGCCATGCACAGCCTGCCTGGCTCCTCAGTACAGCCCTGAACTGATAAGACCCTTCACATGTCCGCTTACCAAGATGAACACAGGCAGCAACTCTTACCTTGAATTCCTATCCTAAATCAACCAGGAATTGTGTTCTTGCTCCAACATTTTCTGTGTTGCTCTTTAATCCATTGCCCAGCATTTGGGGTAGGGATGGTTTTTGTCCCAGACACCACTACGTTCCTTCCCCTGCAAAAGTTCAAGGAGCTCTGCTTGGTGCCTCAGTGTCAAACATCAGCTTGGTTTTCTGCAAGTGGCACCCTTGGTTTGTGTGTCTGTTTTGAGCTCCCATTGAAAGTTTTCCACGTGATTAGGGTGCTTACAACTTGACTTTCATCATTTCTCCCTTGCTTAGTAAGGATTAAATTCACAGGGCTGTTTCTGTGTTCTTGGAAAACACTTTCTCCTCTCTGAATTTTTGTTTGCCACCGAGGATGATGGACCTTTGTTTGAGTCTCTTGATTGTTTTGACCCTTTCCAGAAATCTGGCATAAACAGGATGAGCTCACAAATCTATTTCTCAAAGGGGACCGGGATTAAAGCTTGTCCTTGTTTGTTCATCTGCTTCTTGCAGCATTGGAATGAGTTTGATAACATAGTGTCATTTTTAGCCAGTGGGGGAGCACCCCAGGCTTGTGCACCACTGAAAATGAGTGTATTTTCTCCCCTCTCCTCTTTGATATACTGAATGAGGAGTCTGAATTTTCAACAGGACAGCTCTTGGTTTCTCATAGACTCTTAAGGAGCACAGTGCTGCCAAGGCCAGCACTAACCTCTGTCCCCAGGTGCCACATCTACACAGCTTTTAAATTCCTCTGGGGATGGGGACTCCACCACTGCCCTGGGCAGCCTCTGCCTGGGCTGGACAACCTCTCCCATGAAGAACTGTCCCCAATATCCAACCTAAATCTTCCTTGGCACAATTTGAGGCTGTTCCCTCTTGCCCTGACACTTGTTCCTTGGAAGCAGAGCCCAGCCCTCTGTGCTGTATTGAAACAGTCCCAGGAGTGTTGAGTGTTGCAAAATCCTCATCTTTGAAAATGCAACTCATTCATGAGCACAGGGACTCCTCCCTATCTCCCTCTTCCCTGACAGTGCAGCTGAAGGTGAGCTCTGTCCTTGTGGACCCATTCCTGTGGATGTTGGTTGCTGACTCCAGGCACCTGTTTCCCTTCTGGAGCCTGCAGTGGGGTTTGTACTGACTGAACAAACCACCAGAGCAGAGCAGCCCAGTGCTGTGGTCATGAAACTGCCCTGCACACAGCTGGGTGATAGTCCCTTAACAGGAGGAAAAGCCCCTGGAAGGTTGTGCCTTACTGTAGGTTTCAGTTTCATCATAAAGATAACAAAAAAGGAGAAATCCCCCATGTCCAACAAGATCATATACTGTTGTCTGTGTCCTCTGGAGATGCTGAGTTTATCAAATTCTCCTCTGGTGACAAGTGTGATATCAATCAGTCCTCTAGGATTGGATCCTACAAAGCTTGTACCTGGGGGCAATTTCTATGAAGATGTAAGCAAAACAAGATTACTGTTGTGTTACTTCTGTGGTGCTTATGCACTGTGCATAAGTGACACACTGAAAGAGATTTGATTGAATTATGTTAACATAGAATTTTTGGGGTACTTTTTTTTCATCCTATTATATCTGAATGTCTTTAACAGAGAAATGTACCTGTTGGGCTAGGAGAAGGAGTAGATCTTTATAAATTTAAAAAAGGATCAATTTACATTAGATATTGGAAGGAAATTCTTCCCTGGGAGAGTGGTAAGGCCCTGGCACAGGGTGCTCAGAGCAGCTGTGGTTGCTCCATCCCTCCAAGTGTCATAAGTCAGACTGGACAGGGCTTGGGCCAACCTGGGGTAGTGGAAGGTATCCCTGTTCCATGGAAGAGCTGGATTTTAAGTTTCCTCCCAACCCAGACCATCTGGGGTTCTATTGCCATGATGCTGTTTTTGGAGGGAGGAGTTCCTCTGAACCTGAAAATCTGATGAAAACAGTTTTCTGTTTTGACTTGTTAAAAACAGGATAAAACATGGGCTGGTGTTGACAATGCTGGCATTTCCAGGCAGGCTCAGATGGCAGCTCCAGTGGAATATTCCCATTCCAGAGGCAGAGCAGCATCCACACCGTGTCCAGAGCAGAGCATGGCCCTGAACCCACAGTCCTCCATGTACAGTGTGACCTGTGCCTGATACCTAAGCACTGAAGCCTTAGGATGAATTTTCCCAAGATTTATTAATTTATAGCACTGGGGGGAAGTATTTGCTTGTATCCAATAACTTTATGCAGTTCAAAAGAGGGAGTCTGGAGAAGCTGCCTGGTCATGTGTTCCCTGCCACTGCAGGGTCTGTTTGGGTCTGAACAATTATTCACAAGCTGGGAGAAAGGTTTTCCCATTTCTTGGGGAGACGAAAGCAAAACAAGTACAGCTGGTTCATTTGGGAATCTCACTTCATTTCTGAGTCCAGGGAATCATTACTAACCTCATTTACTGAGACTGGGTTTTCTAAGGTGTGACTCTTGCGTGAGCTGTTGATTTTTTCCATCCTGCTGGAGATTCCTGCTGTGTCCTCTCCATGAGATTTTCCCTGTGTGTGGAAGTGTTTTATGCAATAACCCTCTCTGCTTTGGGGCCTGTGCGGTGACCAGTCTGTGAAGGAGTTTGTGACCTGCCTCAAAAAGAAAATAAATGTTGCAGGGGGCTGGGACAGGGACACAGCAGGATTTACCCTGGGAATTAGCTGTTCCACTGCTTGCAGCCCTGCTGAGTGGCAGGAAGTGTGGGAATTCTGGGCCTTGGAAGCTTACATTCCCTTCAAAGCGTGCTGGAGTACAGGAAAGGCTCAGCAGGGACCCCAGACCTGGGAGGCTCCTGACATCCAAGCTGCATTTACCTGCTGGGAAAGATCCCGCAGTCATGGCCAGCAGTAGGATAAACTTTCCTCAAGGAAGTTCCTTCAAAGGAGAAGTAATGAGCTGAACTTGGAGAGTCCTATTTCCCCCTTTGGCTGCTCCCCATGATCCATCTGGCAGCCAGTGGGTGAAGGGTGCCCTTGAGCTTGTCCCTGTCCCTTCAGCATTGTGGCTTTCCTTGGACACGGAGTGGGGCCACCCCAGTGTCCAGCAGCATGTCCTGCTGCTCCAGCTGGCTCCAGGGAGATCCATGTGGGTTGGCATTGCTGCCATAGCTGTGCCACATGCCTAGACATGCCATCTTGTCACCTGGTTGTCACACAGGAGGTTCCATTCGTAATGAAATGATGGTTCAATTTAAATCAGAGGCATCGCTTTTTGCATGGAATATTCTCCTCTTACCTGCAAGCAGAGCTCCATTTGGCCCAGAATAGTTGTTGCTTCTTTAAGATCCTGATTTGTTTCCTTTTTAAATTGCCTGCTTATGTGTGCCTCAGTGCCTCCTCGGAGCAGGGCTGTCACCAGGAGCTCTCCCAATACCCAGCAGGAGTCAGAGCTGCTCCAATGGCTCCCTGGTTCTGCAGGGCAGAGCACGGTCATGGGGTGGAGGGGTGAGCAAGAAGCCTCCTGTTATTTTTTTTACCCCATCCTCCCTGCCAAACGGCCTATTTTCTGCCCCTAATGGTTTCTGCCTAACAAATGGTGTTTCTTTTTTACAGCGTTATGATCCTGGACTTGTTGTGGTGATGGTAAACTTAGCAGTGGTAATTTTTTATTTTCAGACTGAATTACTCCTTTTGTCATCAGTGCACCAATGTTAGGCTTACTTTCTCTGTTGTAGCCATCATCCTTCTGCTTGGTCTTTCATTTTCCTTTCCTTTCCTTTCTTTATGCACACTTGTCTGATCCTTGTTCATTAAAGGGTATTGCTAAGAAGGGATGTTTCTGTTTGTGTTAGAACTGCCAAAATCAGTTTAAACATAAATTTTTAATACTGTCCAAACTTGATTTTTTCCCCCCCCCCAACACGATGGGCACTAGCACTTGCTACTGCAATTTCCAAATAGATTTTGAATTAAAAAAAAACAACCCAAAAAACTTTGACTGCCTTAGAAGGCAAAAGTACTGATGCATTGTTTGTATACAGGGGTTTACCAGGGCAATGAGGCTGCATCAAAAGATCTCAATTGCTGGAGAAACAAAACAAAAATAAATAAAAAATACCCAAAACCAAACCAAAATGAAAAAAAGCTTGAAAAAAAATGGAATAATAAATTGTTGGCACTTGGTGCCAGGCATTCCATTTGGGTTCACCACTTACCAGTAAATCCCTGGCTGAGACGTTATGAAAGTGATATTGCACCTAGGAAGTCATTTTTATAACCTGTCTTTAATTTGGTCCTTTTGCTAAAAATTGCAGTCACTGCTTATTGTATTATACCATTGGGCATAAGAGAAACCTTGTCAAAGATGAGCACTAAATATCCAAAGGAAACTTCAATCCAAACAATTTCAGATTAATGTGATCTCTACTTTTGGACCTGATGGATACCTGCCTGTCGAATTCCTGGGCATATCAACAAAACCGTAAAGCAATTAATTAAATTGATTTATTTCTGAATAAAACCACATGTGTGTGCTTTAAGGTTCAAAAACTCCTCTGGGGCTCTGTTTTTGGCAGGAATTATGGCTGGTGCTGGCAAACAGTTCACACCTATCCAGGTTTTCTGAGGCAGTTTTAAAGACTTTAACCTTTTGCATGTATGGATGGCAGTGGAATATTTCGGCATGACTCCAAGCTGTTGATCTTTTAGCCCAAAGGTATAATACCTGTGTATGTGTGTATAACAAAAGAGTTGTTTACACCAAACAAGAGCAATAATAAGGGAAGTAAACATTCTGTTTTTTCACTCAAGGTTTGCACTGGAGAAGGTAAGTACTTTGTCAGTGGGTTACATCACAACCACCAGTGCCAGTTGTGATGTAAAAATCAAAATAATAATAATTTATAAAAAAAAAAAAAAAAAAGCTGTGGTAGTAAAGTGCTTGTCTGCCCCATTTTGCTTTGTTTGGCTGGTTATGAGTGGATTAAAGATATGTTTTTTAAAACAAAATAAATCTCCAGCATAGTTTGATTAGTTCAAAGTCAATTTTCTTCGCAACCAGTCCTTTTCACAGCTTACAGGTGACACGACAGGGCCAGAGCGTCACTGCAGGGCTGGGGGAGCAGGGACTGACCCCTGGCCTTGACTGGGTATTTGGGATGGGGGAAGTTTGGCTTCTGTGCCATCCTTCTCTTCAGCATTCCTTACTCCTGGGGATGGCAAAAGCTGGTAGGAGGGAGGCTTCCACGTCCCTTACAGGGAGGTTCTAATCAATTATTAATGAGCTGCAACAGTGAAATGTGATTAGCAGCTTCTTCACTCTTACAGGAGATGAGGAGCCTGATGTAGAAGCCTTGAGGAGAAGGCTCAAGTCCTGTTAGCAGCCCTGCCCCAGGGCTTGTCACAGGGGAACATTAACCATGAGAAGCTTTTACATGAGCAGTTGATGTTCAGAAAGTGCATTTATCATCCTGGGTGCCATTTGGAGCTGGGCACAGGGTTGGCTGTAAGCTGTGAGAATGGCTCGTGTTTGGTTCACTGTAGCTTTCTGGTCTCTGCACTCCAAGGCAAGATCTCTAACCACCCAAACCCAATGTGTACAGTGAGCTGTGGTGCTGAGCTGCTGCTGACCCCTCTCTGTGTGTTCCTCTTCCAGGGAGGACGGATCCCATCCCTATCGTCGTCAAGTACGATGTCATGGGCATGGGCCGGATGGAGATGGAGGTGAGCTCCCCATACCCCTGCATGGCTTCTGGGAGTGGGTGGGAAAGACATTTAAAAGTGAGAGTTTGTGCATCCAGGGTAAAGAACAATTTACTCTGAAATCAGCGCAGTAAGAAAACCTTTGTCTTCAAAATACAGAGCCTGAGTTCTGGGGTCTGGATGTGCCCCAGAATCTGGCTCTGAGATTTCCCCTCCCCAAAGCTGCCATGGGCCTGCCAGGGCCCTCCACATCAGGGGGCTCAATAACCTGTTTTACACTTGTGTGACAAAACAGGGAAAGCAAAGTACAACTTGCATAGATTCTGTTTCAGTTCAAGTTGTTAAGTTGTGCTTTCTGGTAGATTTGATAATGCAATGTATTTATGGGCCAAATGGCATCTCTGTTTGTTTTAAAAACAGCTCGACTATGCCGAGGATGCCACAGAGCGGAGGCGAGTGCTGGAGGTGGAGAAGGAAGACACCGAGGAGCTGAGGCAGAAGTACAAGGTACAGAGAGAGGGGCATCAACATCACAGGGTCTGTGGGCTGGTTGGGAAAAGATCTGTTCTGGGGCTGAGTTCTTGTTCTGCCGCAGTGATGGTGGTAAAAATTCACTGCTCTTGGGTTTGGTCATTGTGGAGATGATTTGTATTTTAACACACTGGTTATTCACTTCTTGGCATCAACCTTCCTGTTTGTTTAGCTGCTGAAGAACCCTAGGACAGCAGTGGGGCTTTCTCTCTTGTTCTGACAGGAACAGTCCTGGGGTAAGCAGGACATTTCCTTCCCTACACCCAGGGTTGCCAGATTTTTCACGTGAGCCTGCCTTGCCAGGACAAAACCTGCAGGTGGTAGAGGGGCAGTTACCAGCTGGGAGAGTAGGAGCTCTTGTGCTGTGCTTAGTGAGGAGTGAGCAGCACATTATGATGTTACTGCATAAATCCTGCCTGCTTTGGAAAGGTAGGACATGGCTCCAGCTTGGAGAAATTGATGGGCTGGAGCTCTTTGGAAGAATTGTTCAGGCAGCATTAAAAAAAAAAAAAAAAGACAAATTCTGTATTTCTATGGGATTTGCAAAACCTGTGGGGTTATTTTATAAGCCAGGGGCCGATAAAAGTGAGCTGTGGTGTTGGGATTTGAGTGTGACATGCAGGGGCATTCTTGGATTAGCTGTAACTGAGTTTTCTGTGGAGACATGGTCACTGCTCATCCTTTAATCCACTCTTCCGCTTCCCAGCCCCTACAGGCCATCAGCTCTTAGGAAAGCCTGCTTGTTCAATTGTCCAGAGATTTGGGGAGTACCAGGGTTGAGGAAGGGCTCAAGACATCCAAATGAAGTGTCAGTCTTGCATAAATTTTAATTATTTGAGAAATAATGGGAAAGTAGTTTCAGTGCCATTAAAATTAAACATAACCTCGGCAAATCTAAAATTCCATTTCTCCAGTTGAACAGTTAATTCTTCAGGCAGTTTGTTCAGCTATGAAAATTTATAGTCTCCTATCTTTTTTTTTATTTTTTTTTGTCTTGAGACCTTGACTTGCTTGATAAGTGAGCTGCAGTACCCTGCAGGGCTGTGGACTCCCCATCCCTGGGAAGATTGGATGGGGCTTGGACCAGCCTGGTCTCATGGGAGGTGTCCCTGCCCATGGCAGGGCGTGGGACTGGGTGAGCTTTAAGGTCCCTCCCAACCAAAACCTTTCTGTGTTCCTGGAGTTCTTGGGGTTTACAATTATCTTTCCAAAGGCACCCCAGGCTGTGTTGCTCTGAGACCCTTTTCTCTTCCTGCCCTCATCCAGCACAGGTTTTTTTCAGGAGCTCTGGAGCAGTAGCACTCTCTCCCAGCTCCAGTGGGTTTTTATTAGCTCAGTTCATCCTTAGCCTCTTGCATTTTGGTATTAATCTGTGAAAAATCTCCGCAGCCGTTACTTTTTGCTGCTCCACAGGAGTCCATTATGTAACTGCCGGTGGCGGTGCATCCTGATCAGCCATTCAGGGAGCCTCAGAGGAATTTTGGATAACTCTGCAGCCAAGAAATGTTTTTTAATTCCCTTCTTTTGTATAGATTCTGATCACTCAAATGGCTGGGTTTCATTGTTTAGCCACAGGATGCTTGCTTAAAAAAACCTACACATGGCACAGGAAGCTTGTTGGGATTCAGAGGAACTTTAAATGTCTGTGTTCTGTGGAGCTCACACTGCTCTGTTTTCCTTTCTTGTCTTCCTGGGGACCTGCTTCAGGCTCAAAACTCCAGATTTGTTGATTTTTTTCTTTTTTTTTCTTAACAAGGGCATCTGGTAATAGGTGGAAGCAGGCAGTTACTTCCTTTTTTGTGTAGAAGTGAGCAGTGCTTTAAAATTAAAACAATCACAAACACGAACATTAAAATTTTTTAGATTTTTTTTCCTCTAAGGTGTTGAAATTTTTATATAAATTTTGTATCGCATAAAACACAGTAATGTTATTTTAATGCCATTTTGATGTGGTAACTAGGAGATAAACCATTTTGCCTTGAACAAGATCTGAAATTCAAAGGAAAAACCTTTCAAAGTTTTCTGTCCTAAATGGTTGCTGCCTGCTCTTGGTGAGTGTGGAAGGAAGCTTCCCATAGGAAGTTTGTATTGCAGATGGAAAAAGAGATCCTTAAGTGTTTTTTCTCTAATGTTAGGGTGTTTTTTTTATATAATTTCTCTTTATTCCAGTTGAAATGCCTGTGGTCAATGGTTATATGGGGAGTGCTTCAGTGAATAGAGTGGGCTTTGTGATGCAGTATTTGTAACTAATTTTGAGTAAGAGCTTCCACCTCCTCAGGGTAAACCTTCCCCAAAGAGCTTGCGAAGAGTGATGATGTTTTATTAATTCTGCTGATGGGGTTGTAATTGATACAACCTGGCAAGAGGGAACACCTGCTTAGCCCTGAGGTTCCTGTGTCCTGGCATCAGGTGCATCTTGGAGCCCCCCAGAAGTGCAGCAGCCCTGGGGGACAGCACAGACTCCTTCCACACCTGGATTTCCAGCCAGTGCAGCTACCTGAGGGATTGGGATTTCCCCAGTCCCAGAGCTTTGTGCATATTCAAAACCCGTAGCAGAAGAGGGAAGGATGTGGGTGTTGCCAGGTGAGACATCTCATCTCTGCCTGGTGGTTTGGTTTTCCACCTGTGTAAATGTTCTTTTGTAGAAGGGAAAAGACCCTCTCAGCACCCCAAAAGACACCCCAAGGCTCTCCCTCCCCTCTCCATTAAATGCAGCTCCTTGTGCCCACTGCAGTGTCTGTTCCTGGGAATATTTCACTGGAGTGGATTGGGCTGGGCAGGCTCTGAAGGGTAATTCCCAGCAGGAGCCATGTTCCTCCTTCCTGAATTCAGACAGCCAAACCAAGATCAAGCAGACATCTCTTAGCATTCAAAATGGAGCAGTATCAGCTTTAGAGTTGTAAGGTTCTGTTCCAAAGGCAGGGATCCTCCTAGGTTTGATGCCAGTATGTCTCTGGGTTAGCTCAAGGCTTTGATCCTAAGACAATCCAGGAGGTTCCCCTGAGGCAGAGATGCCTTCCCCCATCAGCACTGCAGGCCTTGTTTTAAGCAGTCTCCTTTTAGTGATACTTCTGCTATGACCAGGGGATGTTCAGTCCTTGAGGGTCCCTTCCAACACAGAATATTCTGTGATTGTGGGTAACAAATAGAGCCAAGGTCTGTAGCATTGCTAAGTTCTGGAATCCCACCTGTGAATTTGCACAGGCCATTCAGCTTAGCAAGCTGGGTTCACTAAGGCCAAGTGCTGGGACCTGCATTTGGGTCACAGCAACCTCATGAGATGTTCCAGGTGGAGGCAAAGTGACTGGAAAGCTGGGCAGGACCTGGAGGTGCTGAGCCAGCAGTGTTGGACATGAGCCCAGGTGTGCTCAGGTGGGCAAGAGCCCAGTGGCACCTGGGCTGTTCCAGGACTGGGGTGGCAGCAGGACCAGGGCAGTGACTGTCCCCTGAACTGGCATTGCTGAGGGACCTCAGGTGCTGTGTCCAGTTCTGGGCACCTCATGATAAGAAGGACAGAGAAGGAAATGGAGCTGGGAAGGGGCTGGAGCCCCAGGAGGGGCTGAGGGAGCTGGGAAAGAGGCTCAGCCTGGAGCAGAGGAGGCTCAGGGGGCCCTTGTGGCTTTGCACAGGTCCCTGGCAGGAGGGGACAGCCGGGGGGGTTGGGCTCTGCTGCCAGGGAACAGGGACAGGAGGAGAGGGAACGGCCTCAGGCTGGGCCAGGGGAGGCTCAGGGTGGAGGAATTTCCCCATGGAAAGGGAGCTCAGGCCTTGGAACTGCCCAGGGAGCTTTGGAGTGCCCATCCCTGGAGGTGTCCCAGGAAGGCCTGGATGTGGCACTCACTGCTCTGGGCTGGGGACAAGGTGGGGATTTGGCACAGGTTGGACCCAGTGATCTTGGAGGTGTTTTCCAACCTCAGTGATCCTGTAATAAATATAATTAATGTACACTAAGTTTTTATTAAGCACTATTTTTCCTTAAAGGACTAACCCCTCATCTTCCAGCCTGTTCTACAGGACACTTAACAGAAGCATTTTTTTGTTAATTTTTCAGGATTATGTTGATAAAGAAAAGGCCATTGCCAAGGCTTTGGAAGACCTGAGAGCAAACTTCTACTGTGAGCTCTGTGACAAGCAGTATCAGAAGCACCAAGAGTTTGACAACCACATCAACTCTTATGACCATGCTCACAAGCAGGTAAGCAATTGTAGACAGCACGATTCATCAGTTTGATGTTCATTGTGGTGGTCTTGTTTGTGGTTAATACTTGGAGTTTCCCTGGTGTATCTGTTTTCCTTACTGCTCCAGGAATAGGTGTTTTATGTCGCTGGGTAAGATTTTTATGCCCATCGCTCATTTAAGAACACAAAACAACAAAAGAAGCCCAACCAATCCATGGTTGGCACCAAGGAGCCCCAGTTCTGAAAGACCCATGGGGGCAGGAATGTGCTGGTGTTAAACAGGAGGGTACACGTGGAGGTGGAAGGCTCCTAGCTTGCTTTTAGCATTAGTGCAGCTTTGGGGAGTGATGATTCCCCATGTGTGAGCATTTTACTACCTGAGTCTGTGTTCTGTGGAGTTATTGAAAAGAAACTAGGAAATAATGGGCTGTGTCAAAGGAATCCTAAGAAAGGAGGACTTCCCAAATTCTGTAATTCTCAGGAGAACGTGGGTTCAGAGTCTCTGTCAAGCTGGCTTTTTTCCCAAGGTAGGGATGTACTGTAGTGTCTGCAGGGTGCCTCATGCTGCACAGTAAGTAATGGAAGTTTTTGTGTTAGCCTGATCTGTTTGACCATTTAAGCTGCTAAATGAGATGTAACAGCATAAAGACAAGAATGTTGGCTTTACAGGGCTGATTTTTGTGTGTATGTATTAAGTGTAGGATATGACAGAGAATGTGCTTTGAACTAAGGGAGTCTTGTCAGGAATTCTCACAGTAGGGCTGTTGGGCTCTGTAAAGAGTGGTTTGTTAGAATCAAGATCAAAAACTAATTTATTCCGTTGGTTATTGGGCAGAGGGGTGCTTTTGGCTGAGCTCAGTCATGACACCTGAGAACAGAGAACTTCCTTGGAAAGTCTCCATCAGTTTGACTGAAACCTGAGTGCAGTGACCTGCATTTATCTGGGAGGTGGCAGGACCTGTTTGTGTCACATTCTTGGTGTGCTGATGCCATGGGATTCTGTGAACTGCTCCAACCCTCAGTGACTGATGGGGCACTGATGTGAGTCTGGCCAGGTTCAGAGCTCTTCCAGCAGCTGGAGTTGCTGTGGAGGAGGAAACCAACATGTGGAAAACAATAAAAGGAGTCAGCAGGAGTGGTCTGAGAGAAAAATGTCTTGTGCACGCACAGGTTGGAGTCATCTCATCAGGAAAAAGAATTTGAGGGTTGCTTGGCACTGCTGATTATTTTGAGAGGAATTATGTTCTTGGATAATTCCATCCATTGCAGTCACTTCAGGCAGGCTTTGGAGAAAATGAGCTTCCAAACTTTGGCTGCATCACCCAGCATTAATTTCTAGTTACAGAGGGATTTAAACAAAGAAGCAATCATGCTTTGCTTAGGGAAAAAAATTGCTTGTCCAGCTTTGTCAGGCTGAAATGTGTGTGTGACCCTGCTGGGTCAGCGTTCAGGGAGTGAACTTGAAACCCCTGAGACAGAATGACAGTGAATTTGCATAAGTAACATTATCTCGCTGCTGTGCTCCTTCCTGCTCTAGGGAGGCTCATTTCCAGCAGTCCAGTCTAAATTTTAAAATAGTTTAGAAAAAAAGCTGTGCTTTTGATATGTTGCACGTTGATGTTCTGTAGTTTGTCTGTTTGGACAAGAAGGCGAGGTTGCAGAAAGATGAGCCTTAAGTTTTTGAGGAAAAACATGAACGTTTCCTAGAAGTAGGCCATCAGTTGGCTTTCTTGGAAAGAAAGGCCATTACAGTATCTTAGTTACAGCAGCCCAGCTTGGTATACATCACCTGCAAGATTTTGTTGTCTCAGTGGTAATTTTTCAAGCAACAGAGCTTGTTTTTGCCTTTTTCTTGGCTCAGTTTCCACAGCATTTTTGCTTTTAAGTATTTTTAGTTCCACATCCCCCTGACGTTGAAGTGTTTGGTTATCCCTCTGTGGCTCAGCGAGCATTAGGCGTCCCTGTAAATAGATGTTCCATCCTCAGATCCCTTTCCACTCCCGAGTTATAAAGACACTGTCTTGTATTCCAGGAAGGAACTCGGGATTATTGCCCAACAGGGATGATAGGTAAGTGTATTGATCCCAACCGGATGAATTTTGGACCCACCAAAATTGTGTCAGCACCAAACAACTAAAGGGGAGGTTTATTCTCTTTATTTCCTGCCTGTCCTGGTTCCATAGACCTTTTGGCTACATCTGGATCAACCTCAACATGAAGTTTCTCCAAAAGACAGCATTTTCTTATCTGGGAAAAGATCCTTGCATTTATTCTCCCAAACCATTGGCATATTTTAGCCATTGTGTTGGAGGTGTGCAGTGTCGTTCTGGAGCTGTTTTTAATTAGGTTGATACTTGAGATGAGAAGTGCAGCTGTTTTAAGGCCCAGTCACCCTCTGGTCAGCACATGGCCTGTCCCTCTCAGGGGACTGAAAGCAGCTGGGGTGGGTGTAGATGGCCCTGCAGGAGGGACAATAAGCTCAGTTCTTTCACACACCCTTCAGTGAGCAACTGGAAAAGGCTGCATCTCGTAACTTCTTGTACAGCTGCTGATACATTTAATGGTGGGGTTTTTTTAGCTGTAGGATTTTGATCTTGAAGGCCTGGTAGGTTATGAAGGGCTCCCACTCCTGATGGTGCCCAATCCTAATAGTCAACAGAGTAATAATTAATAGTAATTAACAGACAAAAGGTGACAAATGTAGAAAGAAAACTTGTGCAGCTAAGAAGGAGCTTAGGTGGTGAAGATGGACCCAGTGTGTATCCCTGGAAGTGTTCAGGGCCAGGCTGGACAGACTTGGAGCAACCTAGGGTAGTGCACAGTGTCCCTGCCCATGGCAGGGAGTAGAACAAGGTAATCTTTAGGATCTTTTCTAAGCCAAATGAGTCTGTGATTCTGTGATTTTTGTGCTGCTTTCCTGCAGATCCACAATGTCCTGATCCTTGGGAGCTCCCACAGTCCCAGAACTCTCTGGACTCAGTGGCAATGTGTCCTTAAGGCAATACACCCGTGAGGGCTCCTTATTTGGTTTGGGGTTTTGACATTAACATAAAGACCTCGTGTTGGATTTGCATGAAGATGAGTGCAAGCCCCATATCTGAGTTGTGCCCATTCTGTGTGTTCCTTCCTGTCAAATAAATCTGGATGTGCAGGGCCCAGCACCTGGAGCAGCCTGCAAGAGTTATGGTTGGAAGTGCCTTGTGTGTCAGTTATGTAGCATCAACAGCTTTTACTTTGGAGGGTTTTAAACAATCCAAGAACTTGGAGAATCTCCTACCATCACCTCATTCTGCTTGTGTGCCTGCTGAGGGCTTGAGCTGCTTACTGAGTCACTGACCCAACAGAATCAAAACATTCCCCTTCTGCATTCCCTGTGAAAAACAAACGTGTTCCTGAGTGAACCTGTGCCAGGTTCCCTGGGAGAATACAAACCAGCATTGAAATGAGGCTTTTATGTAGCTGGTTTTTTTTTTTCCCTAAGTGTGTGGTGTTTTGGAGGTGTAGGTGATTAATTCTGCCTAGATTCTCTTTGTAAAAGGACAAAGTGAGTGTATTCCATAAAGAAGTTTTTTGGGAAAGAGGGTGGAACTCAGAGCTGAAAGTATAGATGTGCAGTTCTCTTTGTGCCTTAATTAGCTGCATCCTTGCTTCTCATGCTGAGGGGGGAGAGATCTGTTCCAGCACAATAAAATTACTGAGACAGTCACTGCTGGGGTTGAGGAATACTCTGAATGCAAGCCCTGAACCTTGTGTTTTGGGGAAACTTGGGATTTCCAAAACCTTGGGCCTCCAAGTGCAGCTTGAATGGAGAAGATGGAGGAGGGAATCTCTGAGGTACTTGGTGTTACATGGAAGATTCTGCTCCAGAAATGCTTTGACTTCAGAAAACACAGCAGTTAACAATAAAGGGGCTACAAGAGAGCTGGAGAGGGACTTTGGGCAAGGGAATGGAGTGATAAAACAAAGGGAAATGGGTTTAATTGAAAAGAGAGTAGGTTTGGATTAGAGATTATGAGGCAGTTCTCACCAGTGAGGATTGGGAAGGCCCTGGCACAAGTTGCCCAGAGAAGCTGTGGCTGCCCCTGGATCCCTGGCAGTGCCCAAGGCCAAGTTGGGCAGGGCTGGAGCAGCCTGGGACAGTGGAAGGTGTCCTTGCCATGGCAGGGGTGGCACTGGGTGAGCTTTAAGGTCCCTTCCAACCCAACCCATTCTATATGTTTCTTAACCTAGCTAAGAAAAATATTGATTCCTTCCAGGGAGGAAATAAGGATGAAATAAAACAGCATTTGCAGGCCATTTCATCTCTGTTCTTTTCACGTCGTTTATAAGCATGCAAAGAATGTCGATGACCAAAGATAAGCCAGCCTTGTGTTCTTACTTCAATAGAATGATCAAGGTTGCCATCCTTTGAGCTTGTGTTTAATGGTGTCATTCACTCCCAGAAGCTTTTGGGGCAAAGAATTGAGCAGACATCAAAAGTTCAGAAAGCCAGAAATCTGCTGGCACAGAATGAAATGTACATTATTATTTTATTTAATGTGGGTTGGCAGAGAGACATGAGAACAATGGCGAGGGAGGAGGGGGCTCTGATGTCATGGGAGCTGCCTCCTGCCTTGAGCCCCAGAGGTGGATCTGCTCTGACCCATCTCACTATGAGGTTTGGCATGAAAGTCTCACATCTTCAGGTCTGATGACAGTGTGACAGTGCTTTTGTCTTGTGAAAATAACAGGGGCTCTTTCTGCTCTGCACTTTTAGGCAGAGAATGTCTCTCAGTGGGCCTCAGCTCAGTGATGCTGCATGGCTTTGTCACCTTAAATGGGGAAAATCCATTTACTGCAGGTCCTGAGTCTGTAAAGCTCTGTACCCCAGCTGGGTACTGGGGAGGTCTTACCTGGTACCATCAGCAAAATCCGGGGTGTGCTGAGTTTTTTCATGGCCCTGAGGCTGCCAGAGCTCCAGGAGCGTTTGGACACAGCTCCCAGGGGTGTACAGGGTGGGATTGTTGGGGTGTCTGTGCAGGGCCAGGGATTGGACTGGATGATCCTCAGGGGTTCCTTCCTACTTAGGACATTCTATGATCCAGTGGTTTTCCTGTTGCAACAGTTCCTGACTCCTGCTCACCCCCCTGGGTTTCCCCACTCTGCTGTTCCTGGGAGGGGCTCTCAGGAGCTTTTCAGTGGTGCTGTAGTGCAGCTGTTTAAGCTGATTTGTGAGAATTGGAAGGTATTGGTGGTGGTTGCCAGTTTGGCCCCTCCTGGGCCTTGCAGGGATTGGGAGATAATCCCACACTGTGGCCTCTTTGTGCTGTAGTCCAGACGTAGCTGCAGATTTAATACCAAACCTGCTCTTCAGGAGCTCGATTTGCACTCCTGTGGAAATGCAGAGACGAGTTTGGAATTTTGTTAGAAACAAAGCTGGAAACTTAAAATACAATTCTTTGTTTCCAAAGCCGAAGGGGGTGGCAGCTATTAATAAACCCCAGGAAGGCTGGAGGTAGTGAACTACTGCCTACAGCATGTGGGAATCTGGAGAAATTTTATGTAAGTGCTGGTGATTTGTGCCACTACTGATCACTGCAGTGTGGCCCTTCTAACAGCTGAAGTAATGAACCAGCAGAATATTCCTTGGCTTTATGGTCTGCATGATCTTGCAGTTTGAAAGGATGTTGCTGTTTAGATGAACTGCTGCTTCCTCAGAAAACACTGCCCATGGAGAAAAAAATTCCCCTTAATTTTGAAATCCTGTAGTAGCATGAAACATATGTTTGACTTAATACAGGTTTGGTGGCTGTAATCCTGTTGAAAAAAATCATTGTCTTGCTAAGCACAATGGGAAGACTTAAAAAGGGAGGATTCACCCCAAAAGTACAAATTCCCAGGGCTCCTTGTGGAGGGAAGAAGCTCCCTGGGGATGGTTGAGTGGCTGCATTAAATCCTTGTTGGAATTTCTCCCTGGTGCTGGGGAAGGGGCAGTTCCGTGTCCCTCCAGCCTTCCTCACACCCACACACATGGTGTGGTCCAAAAAGTCATTTAGAGGTTTTGGGGGGATTAGAATAATGAACACTCTCCTTGGGATTAGATGAACATTTCTTTAGTGTAAGCTGAGCTTAAATATCTGTTTAGTTCAAATGATTTCCTGGGAAGGCTGAGACCTAGAAGTGTGTGAGCAGCATTTCAGTGCTTCATGTGCTCCCTTCACCCAGTGAAATTGTACTTCAGGCTTTGGATTGCTCCTTCCCAGTCTGGACTGGGAGCAGGGTGGGCATGGTTGTTATGAACTGGTTATCCACTCTTTGAGGGGATCAGTCGCTGGATTCAGTGACATATTTGAAACAATAAGTGAGGGGAGGGTTCCAGGTTATTTTGAACAAAAGTTCTGTGTATATTTCATTCCTGCAGCAGGTTATTCTAACAGATGAGCAGTGTGGGTTCCTGTTTTCTCCCTGTTCCCTCCCACAGGATGCATTTAGGGAAGATAATGCAGTCCAGCCAGGTCTCTTGTGTGCTTGGAGTCATATCTGATGATAGGTGTGTTGGTTTAGGTCAGTCTAAGAAGCTGAGCTATCTTCTGTTCTGTATTTTCATTTCCAAGGAGCTGGCACGGTGCATTTGTGAGCTTTTATATCCTGTACTTCCCCAGCAAGACTCTTTCCTCCTGACTCGTGTGTGACAAAAAGAAACTCAGCCTTGGGATCTTTTGGTCCTTTGGAAACCAGACCAGCTGTTCCCCAATTTTGGAAGTACCAAATTCTCAGCAGTCTTGACACCAGGGCCAGTGGTTTGTCAGCCTAAAGGGCCCAGGCTTGGGTGCAGCTGGGAGTTGCTGTGGTGCATATTCCAGAGTTACAGTGCTTTGGGGTAGTTTATTTGCTTCACACCTCTAAATTTTAAGTGTTGAGAGTGGGAGGTTTGGGGGAGCAGAGCCACACAAAGGTCAGCATTCAATAATGGGCATTTAATTCTGTCTGAGTTCAAATTGCTAAGTAATGGAGGTAGGAGAGCCTGGGGGCAGCTGCATCATTCCCAACAGCTCTGAGCTGTTCCTGTCCTGGGGGATGATCAGGACCATGCCTGGAAGCACAGGGGCTCTGAGTGCACCATCGCACCTTCCTCTTGAGAGGAGAAGGTCACAGTTCATGTCTGGTGTAAATAGCTGGGTCATACTTTTTTCCAACTGGATGAGTGATCTTGAGACTTGGCATCAGCCCCCATTAAATAGTTTTGTCAGCTGTTGGTGGCTGTAACTTCCCAGAGCATTTCACACACACTTTTGAAGTCAGCATGAAAAAGCTGATTGCATTGCTCAGTCCACCTATTTTATTTTTTTTCATTCCTCTTTGAAAAAAAAATTTACTCTTCAACATTAAACATACACCACAAAACCCTTGAGCCCTTTACTTGTCCTGGTGAAAGTAGCTCTGCTGTTCCAGGTGGGATCATTGCTGTGTCTGTGCGTGTCTGTGTGTGTCCCCCTGCTCCAGACCCCGGCTTGGTCCCGTGGCTCTGCTGGCTCTGCTCCCGCTCTGTAGAATAGCTGGCACACTCCCCCACAGCTCTCTAGTAATGCTTGCTTGTTTTGTTTTGATTTTTTTTTTCTTTCTCTCTTCCACTCTTGTTATATTTTTACTTTCTTTTTTTCTTTGTGATGTGACGTTTTCAGCTGATGTATTGAAAGCAAACCCTTCTAATTTGGGAGTCCAGATCACAAGAGTGAGTTTCTTTCTACTGGTGTCTGTAGTTGTATCTTTTTTGTGTGTCCTCCCCTCTGATTTTGGTAAAAATCAACCACATTTAGTAAATACAATTAGGTAAGAGAATCCTCTGTCTTGTCCAATCTCCCCCTTTTTCACAAAGCAATGTTCTCTTTACATTGGGCCAGCTTAATTCCTCTAATTTGAGCTTTGGGTTGGTTTCCAGATCCACTGTTTCTGTGTGTGGCAGTCTGACTCTGCTCCAGGAAAGAGGCAGAGTCAGCCAGCCAGAAGTATTTAGAATTCACCAGTGATTTGTACATCCTGTACAAGAATTGTTCCAAAGTGACTCCTGCTCTGAGTCCCGTTAGTCTCCCAGGCTCTGTATGAAATGCCTAAAAAACATAAAACTTTTTCCAAAAGCTGAGTACAGGATGCATTCTGGAACTGGGCCCTTTGAAAGGGTTTTGAATTGTGCACTAAAAAGAACAATGAGTTGCTTTAGGATGGTAGAGGTCTGTCTTTGTTGCTTTCTGTTACTTAAACTTCTGTAGAGCACTCTAAAAAAATGTTGTGATTATCCACAGATATATTCCAAGGAAAACCAGCAGCCTCTTCTCCTAGTGCTCTGAGACAAGGACTTTCCAAAATATTCTGAAGTCTTGGATATTTATTTTCTATTAGAATTGGCTACCTAGACTTCCTCAGTGATATTAGGATGTTTGAAATGCCTTGGGATTGGGTTGGCTCCCTCATGATAAGAATTCTGAGGAACTTGGTGTTTCTTCCCTGCAAGGTATTCAACCCTGAGAGACCCTCCTGCCTTTAGAGCACTTTGTTTCTTGACCATCTCAGAACTACTGTCAGGAAAACAAGTAACTGGTTGTGGTGTATGTTGTATTCTGGATTTGCTTACAAAATCATTTGCATGGGATTTTTGGCTCCTTCTCCAATGTAATGGTACATTGCTTTTGTCAGATGTCATTCCTGGGTGACTGTGGCACCAGCTAATCCCTCCTGTCCTTTGGCCCATGCTCTTGACTCGTGTCATGCACTGTTTGTCAAGTACATCTGCACCCTGCAAGAGCAGCAAAGTAAACAATCCTTCTTTTCCCCTTTTCCTTCCAGAATTTGCTTGTTGCTTCAAAATCAGCTTTGTTGTCCATGCTAAAGAAAAGCAGTAGTGTTGATTGGAAAGGGGCATACACAGAATTTGAAGTCATAGCCAGAAGTGACCACCAGTTGTCTTTTCCTTCAGCTGCAGGGAGGATGGCAGTGTGCTCCGTGGGGTTTGTTGAGCTGAGATGCTGTTGCTCCATCCTGGCTCAATAAATGTCCCTGGGGAGGGGCTTGACACTGCAATTTCCAGTGCTACAGCAAAGAGCTGCTCTTGGATAAACCACAAACAGCTTTGATCTGATCTGTCCCTGCTTTCTTTTGCCTCAGAGGTTGAAAGATCTCAAGCAAAGGGAATTTGCTCGCAATGTCTCGTCGAGATCCCGGAAAGATGAGAGGAAGCAGGAGAAAGCCCTGCGGCGCCTGCACGAGCTGGCTGAGCAGAGGAGGCAGCCTGAGTGGTGAGTCTGGGTGGTCCCCAGCACCCCTGGAGCCTGGGGGGCTGCAGCCCTGGGCTGGGCTGGCATTCCTGCCCAGGCTTTGAGGACAAAGCTTCCCACTGGTGCAGGAGACTCATGCTGTGGTTTTGGTAGGAGTGAATTCACTAAACTGATCATGCAGAGCATCCCCAAATTGCATTATCCAGCAATACAATTTCTTCAGTAATTTAATATTATTAAAAACTTGGAGTGGTTGTATAATAATATTTTAATGCATGAGTCTGGGTGCAAGAGCACTTGAGCTGTGTAAGATGGTCTCTGCTGAGGGATGGACAGAGGGACACCAATCAGCTGTGTTTTCTCTCCCCTGTTCCAGTGCTCCTGGAAGTGGGCCCATGTTCAGGACCACCACGGTGGCTGTGGACGAGGAAGGTGGAGACGACGATGATTCCGCAGCCAACAGCGGCTCCTTTGTCCAATTGAGCTCAGGCCAGGCCACAGAGATGACCACGGACAGAGGATTCCTGAACACAGGACAAGGCACTGTGATGCCAGGCCAGACACCCACCCAGGGGGCACAGGCCATCAGCTTTGGCATTAAGAGCTCTGTGGGAGCTCCTCTGCAGAAGATTGGGGTGTCCTTTTCCTTCGCCAAGAAGACCCCGGTGAAGCTGGAGACCATCGCTTCTGTTTTCAAGGACCATGTGGATGAGTCCAATTCTGCAGACGGGGCAAAAGGTGATGAGAGGGGGTCCTCAGAGGCTGGCAGCCTGCAGAAGTCTGGGGAGGGTGAAGGCACCAATAATTCTGATGGCAAGGCAGAGGATGATGACCAGCACGACAAGGAGAGTGGGGCTCTGGCCAGCACCTTATCCAAACTGAAAAAGATGAGACGAGAAGATGGACCAACAGCTGTGGAACCAGAATATTACCACTATGTTCCCCCAGCCCACTGTAAAGTAAAGCCCAACTTTCAGTTCCTGCTTTTCATGAAGGCTACTGAGCAAACAGAAGCAGAAAATGCGAATAAAAAAAACGCGCACGAAGCAAAAAAGGGGAGTTCCCCCAAACCCAAACCCAGCAAGCACACGGAAAAGGCTGCTGAGAGCACGGGGCAGCAGAAGGAGCAGAGTACTACTGAAAGTGCAGCTCAGCAGGGCAAAACAGAACGAAAAGATATCCCAGAGAATGAAAATACACAGGAGAGCAAGCACCTTCCAGAGGGCAATCCCCCCGAGCCAGACACTGCTAAAGAAGCTCCTCCTCCTGCCTTGGGCTGCAGAGATGGCTCTGAGGGACCAAAGCACCCCACGGGACCTTTTTTCCCTGTTCTGAGTAAGGACGAGAGCACAACGCTGCAGTGGCCTTCAGAGTTACTCATCTTCACCAAAGCTGAGCCCTCTGTGTCCTACAGCTGCAACCCCCTGTACTTCGACTTCAAGCTCTCCCGTAACAAGGATGCAAAAGGGAAAGGGGCAGAGAAATCCAAGGATCCAGGGGGGCTTTGTAAAGACAACACTCAGAGCACGGAACCTGGTGAGGTGAGCAAAGCCAAGGAGGCTGAAAGTGTAGGGAACAGTTCTACTCAAAAAATGGAAAACAAATCCCAGAGCAAGCAGGAGTCCGGTGTGGGAAGCGTCAGTAAGGGAGAGGGAGAGGACAGCAGTAAGGGTATAATGGGTAAGAGTAAATCTGGAAGGTCCCATAAACACAAAAAGAAAAAGAAGCACAAAAAGTCCAGCAGACACAAACGCAAACACAAGGAGGAAGCTGAGGAGAAGGCCCGGAAAACTGAGCTGGGGGAAGAGAAACCCAAGAAACGGAAAAGACACAGGCACAAAAAAGGTAAATCCTCCCTTTTGACCGAGTCAGACCGGGCACCGAAACCTGAACCGTCTGAAGACTGCAGCCATTTCCAGAAGAAAAAACGGTGCTCCCAGGAGTCCCAGAGGAAATCTCTGTCTGCTGAGGAGGGAAGCAGCGGTAAGAAAGAGGACGGGGGTAACTCCTGCCAAGAGCACAGCAGCAAAAGACACAAGGCTGAGCTGCAGCAGGTGCCTGGTGCGAGGAGGCGCTGCCCGGCTCTGTCCCAGGCCCGGAGCGGCCGCCGGAGTCGGCAGAGCAGCGGCGACTACGACAGCGACGAGGGCTCCCCCAGCAAGCACTGCCACCAGAAGTCCCCGTCACAGTACAGCGATGACTACGACTCGGGCAGCGAGCACTCCCGCAGCCGCTCCCGCTCGGGCCGCAGGCACTCCTCACACAGGTCCTACTCCAGCAGCTCGGACGCGTCCTCGGAGCACAGCCGCTACAGCCGCCAGAGGAGCTACTCGGACGACAGCTACAGCGACTACAGCGACCGCTCCCGCTGCCACTCCAAGCGCTCCCAGGACTCGGAGGATGACTCGGACTACAACAGCTCAAACCACCGCTCGAAGCGGCGCAAATACTCCTCATCGGAAGACGACTACAGCTCGAGCAGGAGCAGGTCCAGGAGTCGGAGCAGGAGCCGAACCCATCCTCGAGGCAGGTCGAGATCGAGGAGCCGGGGCAGGAGCCGCAGCAGCAGCTGCAGCCGCAGTCGGAGCAAGAGGAGGAGCCGCAGCGTGACGGGCCGCAGCTGGAAGCGCAGCCGCAGCTACAGCCGGGACCGCAGCCGCAGCACCCGCAGCCACTCACAGAGGTCCCTGTCACGGAAGGGCTCGCGGGGCCACGAGAGCCCCGAGGAGCGAAGGTCTGGCAGAAGGGACTTCATCAGGTCCAAGATCTATCGCTCCCAGTCTCCTCACTATTTCCGGACAGGCCGAGGTGAGGGGTCGCTGCTGAAGAAGGAGGATGGCAAAGGAGAGGATCTGAAAGGATCTGGCTCCCTGTCCCAGAACAGCAGTGGCTCTGGCACAGGGCGGGCCTCGGAAGGGGACTGCAGTCCTGAGGAGAGGAACTCGGTCACTGCAAAACTGCTCCTGGAAAAGGTGCAGTCCAGGAAGGTTGAGAAGAAGCCCTGTGTCACTGATGAGATGCTGTCAGGGGCAAACAAGGTGGGCATAAAGCTCAAAGATCCTCCCCAGGGCTACTTTGGCCCCAAACTGCCTCCTTCCTTAGGAAACAAACCGGTTCTGCCCTTAATTGGGAAGCTGCCAACCATTCGAAAACCAAACTCCAAAAGATACGAGGAGTCTGGCTTGGAGAGGGGCGAGGATCAGGAGCTGTCAGATGCTGAGGATGGTTCTCAAGGCATGGAGGAGGGTCAGCTGGCCAGCCAGTCTCTCCTGGAAGACGTGGTGATGGTAATTCAGGACAAACCTCTGGATGAGCAGAAACGTGATGAAGCCTCTGTGGAGATGCCATCCCTTCCCCTGGACGTGCCGGCACTCCCCGAGTGCTTTGGCTCCGGAGATCTGGTCATGCCACACAACTTCCTCTCGGATCCGAGCGATGGTGATGGGCTGGAGCCTATGGATGGGAGCAACCAGCCGGTCCCAGTGGAAACGAGTATGATGCCCTTAGTTCCAGATGTTGAGCACTTTCCTGGCTACGTGCCTCAGAGCGGGGAACCGAGCATGGAAGGAGATCGGGAGGGGGCAGAAGATTCCTCTCTAGCCCCACTGGAGAGCCAGCCCATCACCTTCACCCCCGAGGAGATGGAAAAGTACAGCAAGCTGCAGCAGGCGGCCCAGCAGCACATCCAGCAGCAGCTGCTGGCCAAACAAGTCAAGGCCTTCCCCGCCTCGGCAGCCCTGGCGCCGGCAGCGCCTGCACTCCAGCCCATCCACATCCAGCAGCCGGCGGCGGCGTCAGCCACATCCATCACGACGGTGCAGCACGCCATCCTGCAGCACCACGCTGCCGCCGCCGCCGCCGCCATCGGCATCCACCCCCACCCGCACCCGCAGCCCCTCGCTCAGGTCCACCACATCCCCCAGCCACACCTGACTCCCATTTCCTTGTCCCACCTGACCCACTCGATTATTCCGGGGCACCCCGCCACATTCCTGGCCAGCCACCCCATCCACATCATTCCGGCATCCGCCATCCACCCGGGCCCCTTCACCTTCCACCCTGTCCCTCATGCTCTCTACCCGACCCTCCTGGCTCCGAGGCCTGCGGCTGCTGCCGCTGCCACGGCCCTGCACCTCCACCCTCTGCTGCACCCCATTTTCTCAGGACAGGACTTGCAGCATCCACCCAGCCACGGCACATGAAGGACAAAATGAAGAAACCTCGGAGGAAGGAGAATATTTGGCGTTTTGGGAAGGGGTTGGAGTCGATCCAGCGGGCAGGTGAGGTCTGAGCATTTCCTTTCACTCTTGAGCAGCCAAAGAAGCCGGAGGCTCGAGGGCTGGGCTCTTGGCTGTGTCCCAGGGATGTCTCGCTCCAACTCCTCCGTGCACGCAGCAGCACCGCTCCGGAAGAACCATTTCACCTTTAGAACAGCGAGACTCTTGGAAAGGCTTTTTTTCCCCCTGGATTCTTACACTTGGTCATCTTCCTTCTGCCACTTTGTATATGATAAATGAGGTTTCATCCACACTAATAGGATCTCTAAGAGTCCTTTTAATGAGGTCATCTAATTAAAATAGCATGATTGAATCCGGCTTGTAATTGGCGATGGAACATCGGGAGCTGTCAGCTGCGGAGGGGCAGGAGGCCTCCGTTTTCAGGCGTTGCAGGAGGTTCCTTGTCACTGCACACGTGGGTTTTTCTTGGTGTGAGCAGCAAAGGTGGAAGTAAGATCTTGGTGTAAAGAGGATGAGGAGCTCGGTGTGTGTACGCAGAGCTCCCGTCCTTCTCCATCCTGCATCTGCGGTCTCCTGCTCCAGACCATGTCTGGATATCCCAGACTGGAGAGGGGTTCTTGGGTCAGGGGTTGGGATTCCAGTCTGGGCTTTGACCACTCTTCTCCTGAAAGGGGGAAAAAATCACTCTGAATTCCATCCTCTGTGGTGTTGGGAAAGAGGCACTGGGATGGGAGAGAGAAGGAAAATCCTGTTAGGAATTGAAGCAATACAGAGGACGGGGGAGCGCGGCCAGGATGTAAAGCGTGTTCTTTCCTCTGTAACACTGATGGTTTCCTTATTAATTTATAGGAATTTTTTTTTTTAATGTAAAGAATTGCACTGAACTCTGTAAACAAAGATGCTGCTTTTTGTAGCTCCTATCAAAGGTTACATTTGTAGTATATCGCAATAATATTTTTTACAGCCAGTTCTTAGTGGTACTTGTTCTGGTGGCTTCTGTGTAAATATGTTTGCTGTAGGTGACCCAAGACACTTGTAAAGGTTCAATTTATAGTTTCAGCTAGATGCAGAACAGCTAAGCATGTATATTTTATCAAGCTCATGTATTTTTGAAGGTTTTATGTACTATAAAATGTAAAAACAACAAAAAAAAAATTTAGAATTTTGCAGAAGAAAAAAAAATAAACAGGTGAGACTTGGGCAAGGTGAGGGGTGTGGGGGTAGCATTGACTCTGGCAGGTAATGCTGCGTTCCTCCCTGCCATAGGAATGGGCATTGGAGCAGCCTGGGGAGCAGCAGGAATTCAGGGTGCTCCCAGAGTACAGAGAGCCCTTTTTTTTTCCTTTTTCCTTTCCTTTTCCCCCCTTTGGAAGCAGTAATGTGCAGACCCTGCTGGTGCAGGAGGAGCCTCGGGACTGTTCCCATCCCACACGTGGGGTTACCCCAATTTAGTCCATAAGGGATTTCCCAGCATCACCTGGCTCAGGTGACGCTGCCCGTGGGAGCTTCCCCACCCCAGTGCAGGACAGCTCCTGTGTCCCCACTGCCAGGGCACTGCAGCTGGCACAGCCCTTGGGCCAACACTGCTGGAGGGAGAGATTTCAGAGCAGTGTGAGGATGTGGTGACATCCCTGTTCCTTTCCCCATCCTCTTCCCCATCCTCTTTCCTGTCCCCTCCTGGAGTGCAGCATGAGACCAGGCAGAGTCAAAGGATCAAAATCCCCCTGAACTTTCTCACCGTGTAAATGAGACTTTGGAGCAGGTCAGAGTGACAGCAGTCACAAAAAAGGGACTCAATTTCCTGTAAATACCGAACAATTCAGTGTTACTGTCAGAGCTGAGCTTCTTAGGGCCCGTCTGTGCCCTGGCCCCATCACACTGTGGGCAGGGATTGTTTTTGGACTTCAGGATAGCGCTAAAATAATTAACCTGTCATTACTTAACGAGCATAAACAGACTGTATTTAACTTTGTCACATAAGATATATATATAAATATATATATATGCTGTAAAATGAGGGAAAAAAAACCTTTCTAATAAACCAATGATTTGTGGAAAAAAAAAAAAAAGGTGTGGTGGTGGGGAGCTGCTGTGTAGAGCACCAGAACCCTCTCCTTTCCTTGGTTTCCAAAGCCTTGGTTTGATTAAAGGAAAAAAGTCCCCTCCAGCACATGCCAGCAGGGTCGGGGTCCGGGTGCCACCTGCCCTTCCCTGGCGGTGGCCCTGGCAGGAGGTGGCTGATGAGGGATGCTGCAGAAGTGCTGAAAGAAACAGGAAATGAAGTAATTGGCCAAAAAAGAATTCTAATTGCTGTGAGGGGTCTGCTGTGGGCTCCAGCTGGGTTCAGATGCTGCTGCCAGCTGGGGATGAGACCTCCCGAGGAGGAGCAGCTGCGCCTGAGTCCGGTGTCCTCCGCTCCCGGGGCACGGAGCTGATCCGGGCTCAACTAAACCCTTTATTTGGGGGGGGGCAAATCCTATTCTCTTCCAGCTGCAGATGCTCCAGGGCAGCCAAGAGGGTGCAGCTGCTCTGAAGTGCTGGAGCAGACCCCTCTCAAGGGCCGAGGTGCTGTTTGGCTCTGCGGGGACCCCGTGTGCCTCCCAAAATCCCCCGACTCCCCTGTCCTGCTTCCCACCTGCAGCTTCAGAGATGGAGAGGAGAAAAGCCCGGTTTCACACGGGCTGGCTCCCGGGGATGATGCTCGGGGCCTCTCCCGGCCACCGGCGCTGAGCTGGGCCGAGGACCCCCCGGCAATCTCGGGCAGCCTGAGAGTCCTTAATGGAGTTAAAATTAATTCTGCAGGTGGGTTCAGGGGCTGAGGCCGCTGTCCGGGCACGGCTGAGCCCCCGCGGCTGCCACAGGCTGCGGGCCCCGGCTCTTCCACGGGGACAGGGACAATGACACGCCTTGCTGGCCTGGCCGTGTGCTGTGCCCACCCTGCCCCCGGTCCCTTGGCAGAGCCATTTCCCTGCACAGCGCCGGTGCTGCCTCTCCCTGGCAGGGTTTTGGGGTGTCCCTGCCCTGGGGAAGGGGACACTGGGAGGGTGGTACCCAGTGCGGGCGGGCTCGGTGCTGTCAGCTCCATCCGGCTGACATATCGGGATGCCCCGCTGTCCTCACCGCTCCTCGCCACATTTCCGCTGGTTCCTACTGCCTGCACCCCGAAATAGCCACGCCAGGATGGGTGCGGCCCCGGCGGACGATGGGCCCAGGCTGCTGTGGCCGCGTCCCCCCAGCCCGTGGCCGTGTCTCCCGGTGGCACTGCCACCTCCTGTCCCCTGCTGCGGCCGCATCGGGCTCCCCCGCACTCCTCTGGCTCCCCGCAGGAGCGGATGAGCGGCCGGGGGGGCCCTTCCTGTGTTCCCCATTCCTGCTGGCCCCGTCCCCAGCTGCGTGCCCCGAGATAAGCCAGGGACTCTCAGGGACGGGGGCTGTGGCCACATTTCGGGGTGATGATGGGGCTGCTGCGGGTGCTGCTGCTCCTCGGGGGGCTGCGCCTGCCCCCCATGCTGGGGCTTCTCCAGGACCCCCCCGCCATCTGCGAGGGACCCCCCGGCAGCTATTTCGGTTTCGCCCTGGATTTCCACATGAGCGTGGGAAAGTAAGGAGGCACCGGGGTGTCGGGGTCGGGCACGGCACTCGCCACCGGACCCTGACCCCGCTGTGCCCCCCAGGCCCGGCGTGGCGGTGGGAGCCCCCCGTGCCAACACCTCCCAGCCCGGCGTGACTCGGCCCGGCGCCGTCTTCCTCTGCTCCTGGGACCGCAACAAGACCTGCAACAATTCAT